ACCAAAGTTCTGTGAGAAACAGCTTTACGTTTCTCTTCCTGTGGACTCAGAGTTAAGGTTGGTTTGAGATTCATGTTGCCTGTGGTTATTTTTCTGGACCCAACCTGAGAATGAATCCAAGAAGAAAACAGCATTGGAACAAAGAAGAACAGACAGAAAGATAGAAACAGACAGAGAGAAATAGGCACAGAGACAGAGAGGAAGAAAGAGAGAAAAAGGAGGAAAGACAGAGATGAATAGGAAAGGGGAACAGAGACTGAGGGAGAAAGCTAGACTAGATGACATTGTTCAAACCCTGGAGAGCCATGTCTGCAGCCAGACTTTTCAGCTAATTGAACCAATCAATTTATTTTCTGTCTCATGCTGCTGGGAAAGATCTTACTAATGTAGCATCTGAGAAACAAATTGGTAAGAACACTAGTCAGGCAATTCATTGGGATATATACAGGGAAAGCCCTCTTCAAAGGCTTATTTAAAACATAAATTCACATGGGTAAACTAAAAATGTATTCGCATAACAAGTCTCCTGATTGCATGTGAAATAATTAGAATTTACAAGGAGCTACTATTTATAGCGGTTACCTTTAGGGTAAACAGCCGTGGAGGTGGTGAGAGGGAATTGGGGACGTTTTTATGTTTTACTTGTGAAATGAAGACATTTTTTACAATACTCGGTATTATTGTTATGAGATCTTTTTAAAAACTGTGACAATTAGAAAAGAGATTGCTGAAACAGATCAAACACAGGGTCATGAAGATGGATCTCAGGGCCTATGAGAGGAAGACTCTACTGACAGGAGATGGTGAGGGCTCCACTCGGTAGGGGGAGAATTAGGGCATTTTGTGAGAAAGCAGAGAGAGCATGCTGGTCAGAAAGATTTCCACATCCGCCGCATTGCTCTGACTTCAAAGGGAACGCCTCACACTAAAGTCAGAATGTTCCCGGCCAGTTGAGGAACGTGCCGTCCCAGGAGCACTTTCAGCTAAAAGGTTATTACGGCTGCTCTTGCATTCGAGAAGTGTTTAACTTCTGGCAAAGAGAAAATTGAAGTTTAAAACATATATTTCCGAAATTAGTAGAAGTAAAGGCTCCCAACCCCAATCCACCTGACCACGCAGTCTAGCCAGCACCGCCCCCCGTTACCCCCGTACGGCCATTGGTAATGTTTTGATGTACCATCCCTCTCCCTTCCCCCACCACTCACTCCTGTATACCCAGATACAAACAATTGTATGTTTATTTTACAAAAGCGGAATTATTCTAAACATTAAGGTCTGAAGCTTGTTATTTTTTTCCCCACATAATATGCCAGTGATATCTTTCTAGGAAAACACACATAGCTATCCCTCCTGATTTTCAATAGCTGCATTAGATTCTACTTTTAAAACCAGTACTTTCTTAGATACTTGGTTGGCTTTCCTTCACCACGGAACCTTAGATTTAAAATAATTGACTGTACCTTATGCTTTAATGCAGTTTTGACCTCTTATGACCTATATGATGCATGTATTTTAATTATGCTTTGGAAATGATTTTTAATGAGGCAATACACTTGCATTAAAAGGATTCAATTCTCAGAGCACCAGGGAGCACAGTGGAGGGAAAGTGGTAGTTGGGGGAAATGTATTTCATGACACTTTGCTGTGATCCAGGGGGTCTGCCATCTGGGTGTAATTAGGAATCACAGTGAGCATTCTTGCTCGAGAGGCACTACCCTTTATCAGGCCTCCCTGCAGACTCACGGCAGCTCTAGAGAGGACACGACGTCTTGCCAGGAGTCACATGGTGAGCGATGACATCTCACCTCAGTGAGACACTCACTCTGTGCCTTGCCCCAGCCCGGCTCAGCCCACCTGTCATGGGAGGGACACAGCAAAAACAGAAGCTAGATAACAAATAAAATCATACACTTCCAGGCTAAAATGTTGCCCTGTAATGTCCAGAGTGGACCTTCCAGCCCAATGAAAATATCACTCTTGGGACAGGGAGTGTAGAGACAAATGGCAAGTTTCCCAGGCTCCCAGAGGAAAACAAAACCATTTGACTCCATTGGACTTACAGTATTGGAGTTTTTGATGTGCACTATCAGAGAAGGGGATGGAATTATTGGCAGCACAGCTGAAAAAGAGAATGCGTTGAACACTCCATGTGTTCAAGTGTTTACCAAATACCTAAGTCAGTATTTCTATAATTATTCATAGTCGATCTCCCCATTAAATGTTCCATGCAAGTCGGGACCTAGACCTTATTTATATGCTTGTGCTTTCTCCCATTGGGGGAGATAGAGACATTTAAGAAAAAGTGAAAGGAAAATTAATTGTGGTTTTAATCATAATTGCACAAAGTCCTCCAAGGAGAGGAATGGGTTTAATGAGGTCAGAGTGGGCTTCTGCAAGGAAGAGACAATTGAGCTAAAATCTTAAAGACACAAAGGAGCAAGGGGCAAAGGAACTCTTCAGGCAGCGGGAGGGGCCAAGGGCCCGAGGTGGCTGAGCACAGAGCACTGGAAAGAGAGAAGTCAGGCCAAGACAGCTGTAGCTCAGACAGTAATACTGGCTGACAAAATACATGAAGTGAGGCTGGGACACAGACAGGAACCAGGCGGCACAAAACCCTACAGGCCAAAGAGCTTGGTCTTGATCCTCAGGGCAGTGAATAGCCATTGAAGGATTTTAAGCGAAGGGGCCACAGGATCAGATTTGCAATTTTAAAAGATACCTATGAGATTACCTTAGTGGCAGGTGAATTGCAGGGGAATAAAATAGACGTGGCGACAACAGTTAGGGGGTTGATGCAGCGACTTACGCAAGAGATGATAACAGTTTGGACTAGGATGACAGAGACAGAGAGAAATAGACTAGGATATGTTTAGGAAGGAAAGTCTGTAGGACTTATTTAAATGTAGGGGATAAGGCAAGACTGCATAAGAATAACTACCTGGTTTTTGGATGCTGCAGCTGCTGGAGGGCCGCGTTTGGTAAGAAAGCTCAAGAGTTGCATGGGTACTTGCAAGAAACTGCAATTAACGTCCAGTAACATTAAGTGCTGTGCCAGCTGGGTCAATGCTGTGACTTAAATGGATTATCTAACTTAATCCTAACTATGACCCTGTAAAATAAGTGTTATTGCCCCCATTTTTAGAGAGGAGGAAACTGAGATTCAGAAAGGCTTAATACATTTATCACCATCTCAGAGCTAAAAATTGGCAGATCCAGGACTAGGACCCAAATCTCTTCAGCTTTAAAGCAGAGGGTTCTTAACAACCAAGCCATATGGCTTCATGACAACTCAGGGAAATTTTCATGGTTTGAAAAGAACTTGACAGTTGATCTGGAACTCTGAAGCTAAATCTTCCTAGGCAACCTGCATCCTTCTTTCAGAGCTGCCCAGAGTAAACTCTCCATATTAGGAAGACATTCTACGCTTCCCTGCATTCTCTTCACTCCCTACCCAGCTCATTTTCTTCCCTTTACTTTGGCCCCAACCTCAAGGTTACCTCCGGTGGCCCTGATCCCTCAGCTTTGCCGTCTCCAATTTCCCACAACACTTTCAGGCTCACCGCTCATTTGGACAATGATCACACGCAGGCTCTACCATGCAGGATTGCCATATATTTTCTATTTCCTTACATTTTATTTTTTTTCTAATGTGAACGTGCATACAGTACAGACTGTCTTCAAAAGTCTTTCATGTACTGAAGTTAGATTGTTATACACAAGCTAAGAAACACAAATTTCAAACTATGACACACTACAGGTCTGGCTGCCAATCAACAGTTTAGTTTTACCAGTGTCATTATCTCGAGCTGTAGAGTGGAGTCTCATTATACATGCACTTAACTTAAGCATATTCAACTATATGTTCTTGGCAGAGTGAGAGCAAGAGCGAGAGGGCAATTTATATAGAGTAGGCCTGCCATTCCAATCAATAAACACACATCCCATGGGACGGAAGATGAATCTGCTATTTCCTCAGCTGGTTTTAGTCCCCAAGGACATTTCCCAGTGTGAGTAATTCTCTGAGAAGACTGATGTTAGTGTTCAAAAGCATGTATTTTAGATACACCACAATCTCTAATTTTAGTCAACTACTTTTCCTATTTCTCAATTAAAGACATGGTGACTGATCCCAAGACTGGAGGAAAAAAAACTGGTCTATTGGATGACTCAAGAGACAGTCACAGATTATCCCTGATAATTCTGATAATGTGATTTGTACCCCACACTTTGTTTTGAGAACTAACCCCTAAGATATGGCTATGGTGATGGCTGCATATGTTTATGTAATCATCTGCGTTTTAAATTGCATCATTCCTTCACTTTTAAATAGAAATGAGCAAACATTAGAAAATAAAAAGTGCTGATACAACAAATAAATCCACATCGCTAATATATAAGGCAAAGATAAAAACCACTAGGCCTTCTGAAGTCAAATGTGGAAAAGAACGAAATTATGCCCCAGGAATAAAATGCTAGCCCTGGGTCCAAAAACACCAATTATTGGGGATTTTATAATCATCTTTAACCTTCTGGAAAAGAGTCTCCACAGTCACAGGTACATACCTAAATATGCACATAAAATTATAATACAGACACATTTCCAGGAGAAGGTCATGTTCAAACATAGAACGCCATCATTCTGAACCAGCCCTGCTTCTTAGTCTTGTCCCTCAGCCCTCTTGGAACTGTGTTCATGCCATCACTATAAAATTTAGTGCTCTGCGGTAAACTTGATGGCTGCTACCTGTCCCTATCAAGAGTGTAAGCTCCTTGCAGGCAGGTTCTAGGTTTTCCTCATCTCTGTGTCCGCAGGGCCTCAGTGAGTGTCTGTCTAAAAAGGGGCCTTCTGCAAAGACTGGACAGTGAATGAGTAAGTGAATAACCAGGTTTACCTTTCTAAGAGTCACTTCTTCTAATGAATTGGGGAAGAAAGACACATCCCCATAGCCATCAGGTCGCTGTCTCCAGCACAGAGCTCAGCTATGCACATCGCTCAGTCCTTACCTATCCAGAGAAATGCAGCAGAGGTGAAAAATTGATGCTGTTGTCAGAAGGACGTCTAGAGATGTCCGGACCAGGCAAAACATCTCCCCGTAAATCCAGATGTCTTGAACCAGCTCAATGGCACCAAAGGGCATCACAAGCACGGAAACCAGCAGGTCCGCAAAGGCAAGAGAGACGATGAAATAGTTGGTTTTTATTTTCCTGTGAGTGAAAAAGTATAAAGGGCAAGGCAGAGGAAAGGGTGAAGGAAGGAGGTTAGCGCAAAAGGAGCAAGAGAGAGAAGAGGAGGAAAGGAAAGCAAAGAAAGAAGGGAGGGAAGAAAAAGAAAGAAAAATCAAATGTGTAACATACACTGTGAGGTTCCTTTTCCCCTTCTGTGACCTGGCTGGAAAGACCCTGTGTGGACCGGCCACTTCTGAATTCTCCAGACCCTTGTTGCACTAAAAGCTCCTCCTTCCTCCCCCCTTTGGCCACAGCAGCCTGATATGAGTCTCCAATGCTTGGAGCCCCTCCTGAGTGCCTTTACACGGGTGCTGCTCTCTTCCCAACTATTAGCTCTTCAGGCCTGTTTGATCATTCTTAGGGAACCCTCTTAAGGTGCCCCCGTCACAAACAGTATCAGATTCCACTGTTTTCCACTCTGAGACTGACTACCATGTGTCTCACATTGATGACACGTCTCAGATTAGGGCATGTCTTGTGGAGAGAAGGAGGCAGTAGATGAAGCAGGACTGCATCTTTTATCCTCTTTCTGGCCTGGTGGCCATGAATCCAGGCTGCACACTGGAATCACTCAGTGAATTTTGGTGCCTGGGGCTCACCCCAGATCAAGCAGTTCTGGGACTCTGGGTGATTAACACACTTACTCACCCCCCCCCCAGGGTTGCCAGATAAAATGCAGGACACCCAGTTAAATTTAAATTTCAGATTAACAATGAATAATTATTTAGTATAAGTATGTCCCAAATATTGCATGGGCCATACTTATACCACACATTAGCAGTTTTTCAAAAGGCCTCTGGGTGATCTTCACTGCAGTCAGGGTTCAGACTGATGAAGTGGAAAGAGCAAACCCCCAGGTTTAAATCCTAGGTGAGTCACTAGTCAGCTACCACGTCTCTGAACAACTTGATAAAGTGGGGAGGCTAGATGAGATATGCTCTCAAGGGTTGTGTATCTAGTGATCCCAGCTACGAAAACAAACAAACAAACAAAAACAACCAAGTGGAACACGGGATGGAAATACACTTAAGTGCTTGCACGGGTCATGTTAGAACTGTGGGGTTATATGTGATCTTGTTTTCCCCTGCTTTATTTCCCAAACATTGTTCCCCTGTATTTTTTTCTTGCATAATAAAATGATAATGGAAATGATAAATTCAGTCCCCAACTCTGCAGGGAGATCCAAGAACTGCACCCACGTTTCCTCATGAGGTCTCCTGATGCTACTCACCTGAGCTGCCTGTCCCTGCACACAGCCACCATCACCAGCAGGTTCCCCAAGATGGCCATCAGGATAACCGCCGAGAGAAACATGAGCAGCACGACCTTCTCCACTGACCTGAAACCCTCCTTAGAACTGAAAGACAGACAGACAGACAGACACACACACACACACACACACACACACACACACACACAAAGAATTTAAGGAAACTTTGAGACATGGGAAAGAAAATTAATTTTTTCCTCATTCATCTTCAGGAAGGTAACTTCGCATCAGCAGCTGCAACACACATTTATTGTGCACCTAATATGTGTCAATGTCTGCCCTGTCACTTTACACGTTATCCTACTTAATGCCTACAAAACAGGAAGGAGGCAGCTCAGAGAGGTGAGTTAACTACCTAGAGACTGCACAGTTATTCTCCATCCGAGAACTTGGGCCTTTCCTTCAGAGCACTTCCTTGTGCTCAGAAATGCATTTGGTGGACTTGTTTCGTGCACCTACCCAGCTAGGTTGCTTATCTGCACCTTATCTGGTGCCAAATTCAATTTCCATGTGCCATTCACGTTTATTGGATGAAGGACAGATGGCATTGGATGAATGAGTGATGGTAACTTGAACCAGGGTCTGCATGAATACAAAGGCCACCTGTTTTCAGTACCCCATCCCAGTCCATGCTGAAGCTCCTGTGGACAGGTGGGCTGCCTGGGAAACAGGTCATGGCCTGAAGGTTGTTCTTATATAACTGACCTGGACTCGGGTTCTGTGAAGTCCATTGGAAAGATAACAGCCAGTCAGTAAACGTAGGGACTCCTTTCTCTGCCCTGAGAAGAAACCACATTTCTTTTGGTTCCCAATTTAGCAGTGCAAATTGCGTTCTTGTCCATTTCGGCATCTAATTTGATTTTATAACCCCTGCTATCCTCATGGAAATCATTTTGTTTTATTAACTTGGAAGTGAGTGTTCCCTATCTATCACAGCATAATATCTGCAGGTTATTCATAAGCTACAGGAAAGCATTTTATTTTTTATTAGAGTAATAAAATGTTCTTTTTAAATGAAGTTTCAAAGGATCTTAACATTCTCAGGCGCAAACCCCACATTTCAATCCAAAAAATAACTGAGGCCCAGAGAGAGGAACTAAGTCACCTGATCATGTTAGTGGCTGGGCTGGACGAAGCTGCCTATCCTAGAAGCCCACTACTGAAACCAAGGAATCAAGAAATATCAGTCTCTACTGAGCTCCTCTGACTGAAAACCAAGATGGCTGCCAGCCCCAAATGCCAGCACCCCCTCTAAGGCTCTGGTCTTGTCCAAAACTTTTCCCATGAGGTCTGGCACAAAGGACAAGGTGCTGATTAGAATAAAGAACCAGTATTGCAGCAGTTGGAGAAGCATAAAGTCTCTGACAAGAAACTCTGCTGACAAGTGTTGCTATTAACTAATTGAATGATTCAAGTCTTTATGGCGAGGGCTCAGGTGAAAAGGAATTCTAGGTATGTTCATCTAAATCACTCTTCCACACCTTACTTCCAACTGTTAGCAATACAAATATTGAACCAGGAAGATTCAACTCGATGAGAAAAAAGACCTTAATAGGGTGATGTGGCTACCCAAAACTAATCTGATCTTAAGCCATATTAACTGAAGGAAAGTGTCAATAAAGGCGGTGACAGTGGTTTTTTTCCTTGTCCTTCCCAGAGGCTCTGACTCAGAGCCACTCTGAAACTTGTTCCCCGCTCAAGGCCTCCATACTAGCTGTGCCTTCTTCCTGGAAGGCTCCTTCTCATCAACCAAGTCTCAAATTAAGGTTAACCCCCACTTAATGTACCACAGCCAACAAACATTTTTCGTTTTCTTTAGAGCATGTATTGTTATCGGAAATGGCTTCTGGTTTTGATTTTTGTCTGTGTCCCACCCCCACAGAGAGACCTCGGTTATCTTTTTCAACACAATGTCCAGTGCCAGGCACAACATCTATTCTATAGTATGCGTAGTGTGTAGGCATGTGCAGTACACAGCAAGTGCGCCATTATTTGTTGATTGAGTGAAAGAAAGACATGCGATTCATAATGGTGAGGTGTATCCTTCAATGTCTTTGACAACTGATTGAAGGTACGGAGAAGATTTTACCTAGAGAAAAGAAGACCCAGTATGAGACACAAAAGCTATTTTTTAACTATCCGAAGGGCTGCGGTTTGACATAAGAGTAGATTTGTGCATGCATTCATTCAACACTACTTTCTGAGCATTTTTCTGCACGAGGCATTGTTGTATGTCCTAGGGAAGCAGAAATAAGCAAAACGAGAGCAGGCAATGAATAGATAAAAAAAGAAATTATGTAGCATTTCAGCTGGTAATATACACTGTGGCAAAAAGTCTGGGAAGAAAAGGAGTTCAGGCCTGCCATTTTTGGATGAAGGTCTGGCTATTTAACAGGGATCGTCAGAAAAGCTCGGTGACAGGGGTGTCACACTATATGCTCTTTAGGTTGTATAACAAAGTAGATTGAACAAGCAGGCTTTAAGCAGTGGTTCTGGACTTTGGCCGCATATTGAAATCACGTGAAGAGACTCAGTAAATGCTCATGTCAGCCCCACCCCTCAAACACACACACACACACACACACACACACACACACACACACGGATGATGCTTTCATTAGTTTGGGGTGCGGCCTAAATATTGGAATTTTTAAAAGCTCTTAAGCGATTCTGATGTGCAGTCAAGGTTGAGAATCACTGCTAGAGGGAGGAAGATTTAGTAATGGCGAATAAGAACTTCCTCACAATGAAGGATGAGCCACAATAGCTTCCTGGTGTTGCTCTGAGCTCCCTGGCTCAGGGAGTGTTTCAGAAGGCCTAGATGTCAATGAGATACCACTTCACACCCATTAGGATGACTGTTATAAAAACAAAACAAAACAAAAATGAACAGTAACAAGGATTGGTAAGAATGTGGAGAAATTGGAACCTTGGTGGATTTCTGATGGAAATGTAAAATGGTGCAGCTGTTATGGAAAACAGTTTGGTGGTTTCTCAAAAGGTTAAATACAGACTGCCTATATGATCCAGTAATTGCAGTTGTAGGTATCTACCCCAAAGAATTGAAAGCAGCGACATGAATAGATATATGAACACCAATGTTCATACCAACATTATTCACGATAGCCAAAAGGTGGCAACAACCCGAGTGTCCATCAACAAACAGATAAACAGAATGTGGCACATACGTCCCGTGGAATTGTATTGTCATAAAAAGGAATGACGTTCTGGCACGTGCTACAACAGGAATAAACCTTGAAAGCATTATACTAAGTGAAATAAACCAGGTGCAAAAAAGACAAATACTGTATGATTCCAAATATCGTATAATCTTGCCTACTCTAGGCAAATTCATAGAGAAATAAAGTAGAATAGTTGTTACCAGGGGCTGGGGTGAGACGAGAGAGGAATGGGGAATTATTTAATGAGCACAGAGCTTCTGTTTGGGGCAATGAAAAAATTCTGGAAATGGATAGTGGTGATGGTTGTATACCATTGTGAATGTACTTATTGTCACAGAATTATATATTTAAAAATAGTTATTTTATGTGTTAATGGTAAAATTTGATGCTATATATAGTTGATTACAATAAAAAGAATACATAAATGACCAAATATCAGGATACTGTATAGGGCTTCTATATTGGAGGCAGGTCTGGCTGACTTTAGGTCCCTTTCTGGTTTATGGACAATGGTCCGAGCATATCATTTGAACATGGATTTTCCGTCAACCACGGCTTCACCATTAGAACCATCTCCCCTGTACTGCCTTTCCTCTTGTAGGAGGAAAAACAAACCCCAACAGATTCAGAGTCTGTGGTGACTCAGTCACCTCTGGCCCTCTGGCCCTCTGGCTCCAGAGATGGTATATCTCAAATCAAGTGGGAATGTCAGGTCAGAGAACCCCAAGTTCAATGTTATGGTTCATTTGTGGCGTGCCAATTAGGAGCTCAAAATAAGTAAACTTTAAACTGACTGACAAGCAAAATTTAACCATAGAAAGGGCTTTTTTAATTAGACAGAACTGTCTTTTGAACTAAATCTAAGTCCAGTAATGATAATTAAAATAAATTAAGAACCACTTCTGCTAAGTCCATTTTAGATCCTTGGGTTACCACTGATATCTTCCAAGAATACTGTCAACCATTACCTGATAGTTCCTGTCTGACCAAAGAGCTCTGCCTACTCTTCTAAATGGGCTCTTTGACAGTTACTCTTAGAATTTTACTTTCTCTTCTTCTTTTTTTTTTTGCTTTTTCAGTGATCTCTTGATCCATAAAAAAGCAAAAACAACAACAAAAAAACTCCACAAACTTGTTGGCTCTGTTTAGCATTTGCTCTCTTCTTAATAAAAGAAAACCTACAATACATTTCCACAGAGGTTAGTGTATATGAAAGTAGACTATAAATGACAAAGCATATTATAAATAAGTAATCATTGCTATTAATATTAGAAGCCCATACCAGGACAATAGCTAAAGAACTTTTAGGTTATGCTTTGTTATATCATCCAGAACAATAGGTTTCAAGGTCACACACACACACACAATACATTTCCTTAGGAGTCAAGAATCCTTTTCTCTTCTTTTGCACTGGCTTTGTTCATAACAGCTATGGGCCTTCAAAAAGTCACTTACCTTTTCTGAATCTCAGGGTCAACTGAGAAAGTCAGATGAAATCCCTCATTTATCAATTATGTGCCAAGATCTGTGCTAAGTACTGGGACATAACAGTAAAGAAGGTGACAAAGTCCCCACCTTCGCAGACCTCACACTACTGATGGGAACAGACACCAAACAAGTGCACAACCAAAAACAAAGAAATACAGATTGTGGTCAGCATTTCAAAGTCACCCTCTCCAACTTTAATGTTCCTATGAATCTACCGGGGACATTGTTAAAATGCAGACTCTGTTTCTTTGGGTCTGGGGTGGAGTCTGGGGTTCTGTGTTTCTCACAAGCCCACTGGCTCATGAGGCACCTCAGTGATGATGCTACTGATGATTCATGGGTCACCTTGGGGTAGAACGAGCATCAAGCACATTGACATGATGGCGTGAGAGAGAACAACTAGCTTAGAGGGAAACT